TCTAAAGGTTTCCAGTTTCCTCTATCTGTCTCCTGATTTTCTTGTTTGATGGCAAGAAACCAAGTTAAAACTGTGTAATATATCATGGTCTTAAAAAAAGAAATTAGCTGAAACTAAGTAGGAAAGAATCTTAATGACTTACAAAGCAACAAAAGGACTTAGAAGGGAGGCTTAAATAGACTTAAAAATACACGGAGAGAGAATGGTAGAATATGTGTGGAGTGGAACAATGCAAATTGAAGAAGTTCCCTGTTTAGGGGATATTTTTACCTCCAGATGTTTGTGAATCTCAGGATCTACCCTCAAGTGCAGCTGAAGAATTTCACCAGATCTCTTAAGAGATGTCTTAAAAGGAGGGAGCTGAATGTGGGTTTTACTCCAGTTTAAGTTGAAGGTCACCTAACTTACAAATGCCTAACGTATTAGAAAGATTTTAAATGAAACTTCAGAATATTGTTATCTGCAGCTGATTAATTTATAGCATTTTTTCTTACATGAATACTTTGCTTTCCCTCTGTTTCAGCCGTTTCCTGTACCCTGGGAAGCGTTGGGCTGCTGCAGATCCCTTCGGAGAGGGAGGCCCTTCCATGGAATCTAACTGCTCCAGCAGCAAGGATGGAAAATATGAATTATTAACAGCAATAAATGATGCAATTGCAGAAGAGATTAAAGACCTCATGACAAAGAGTAAGCAGAAGAAAATTCTAGGCTTGCAGAATTGGAAAACGCTTGGACTGTCAAGGAGTTGCAGAAATGTCCTCTGTTTTCATCATATGAATTTTAATATGCTTAAAGTAGATGAGTTTATCAGGCCTGACACTTCAGGCCTCTGCCTTAGTATTATTGGCCAAAGATAAAAATGTGTAGTATTTTGTATTGTTAGGTCCAGCAGCTGTTTTTGTATATAAAAGTAACTTTTGCACTTTTTCTTGTATTGCAGCTGACATGAAGGGCCAGCAAACAGAAACCCTGTTAGCAGGATCACTTGCTAAAGCACTTTGTTGTATCCTTTTGATTACAGAATCTTCAAAGCCTTTATGTGTTCTTAACACTGTTTCTTATAGTACTAACTTTTAGTTTTCTTGTTTTGTTATAATACTTAAAACTGAACCATTTGCCTGATAACTGTGGCTTGTGTTTATCAAAATGTGTATTGGCTGAGGTGGTGAATGTGTGGTGTGGATCATGGAGTTATTTCCACTAATGGAATGTAGATTCCTTAATGCCAGCTAATGTAGACATCAACAAGATGGGCAAAGACCTAAAAGGTACCACCTCTTTTCCTGTTTTCAACACTGAAAGGTTTATTTTAACCTAAATAACAGGTATAAATACACTTGCACACACAAATATACATGTTTGGATACACCCCCATTTCCAAAATTGGCACTGATAGGTGGAGGTTTATTTTGAGGTTGCCTACATTGAAAAAGTTAAAGGACTTGATCAATAGTCCACACCCTTATGGAGATTTTCTGTTGTAAGGAAATAAATTGGAATTTCTGTGGAATAACTGGAGGTTGAGAGGAATTACTCCATAGATAATTGTCACTGGGACTGGAAATAGTTTCCTATAGATACTTTATCTGACCTGTTAGATCTAACATCCAGTATGTTCTGAGGTGTCATATGCTACAGAATTAAAGGGGTGATGCAAACAAGGTGTTGATGCATTTCTTTTTCTTTTTAATATTTAGTCAATCAAGAAATTAAATCAAGGATTCTGGTAAGAACTTTTGTTGTCACTGTTTTCTTTTAGTCTTGAAATCCAGTGATATATGTAGGCTAACAAGTTTGAATTTGTATTTAGGTCATAAAAGCTGCAGAAGACAGCGCATTGCAATACATGAATTTCATGAATGTGATCTTTGCAGCACAGAAACAGGTGAAGCTGGCCTTTTTTCTATTTATATTACCTTTTATTTTTGTGTAAATAACACAAATGTTAATTTATCTTATGATTACATAATTTATAGGGCATTTATCATGGAAACAAGTCATGACAGTGACACTGACAGGGCTGTGTGGGTTTTGGCTAAATTTATTTTTCATGCATGTCATCTCTTGCAGAGTATTTTGATTGATGCCTGTGTCTTGGACTCTGATTCAGGTCTTCTGCAACAGGTAGAGACTTGCTGTTGTTATTTACCATTTATATTAACTCATAAATACTTGATGTTAGACGTTCTTCAGCTCTTTCCTTTAATCAAGAGTGGGTGTGGAAATATGTTCAGTGGATCTGACAGTTGGACATGCAGGCCTTTTGCAGTACAGGGATATTTTAAGTGCCCTGTTCATGTCATCAAACAACAATCTGATCATGGTTTCTGCTTTCCAGGCCTGTGATATTACAGGTGGTATATATTTGAAAGTGCCCCACATGCCATCCCTTCTGCAGTATTTGTTGGTAAGTCACTTAAAAAAACACTTCAGTGTGTCAGATGTGAGATATTCCCTTCACTGACCTGATAATACAGGAATACCATCCCAATTCACAAAATACTTCTCTCTATCCATGCAGTGGGTTTTTCTCCCTGATCAAGAGCAGAGATCACAGCTTGTCCTTCCACCTCCTGTTCATGTTGACTACAGAGCTGCCTGCTTCTGTCATCGGAACCTCATTGAAATTGGCTACGTGTGCTCTGTGTGCTTGTCAAGTAAGTTTATAAATGTTTAACAATATGATTTCTTATGTTCCAATGACCTGTTTTAGTGAAAGCAAATTCTTTGATTTTTCAGTATTCTGCAACTTCAGTCCTATCTGCAGTACCTGCGAGTAAGTGTTTATTCTTTGTAGTTCAAGGGTGGGTGTGCGAATATGTTCAGTGTATCTGACAGTTGCTTTTCCATATTTTTTTTCCAGGACTGCTTTCAAAATATCATTGCCACCTGTCATGAAAGCAAAGAAGAAGAAATTAAAGGTAGCTGCATAGCAACATTATGTAAATACATCTTTACGTCCTCCAGGAATGCCGTGAAATGGAGCCTACTTGAGAAACTGATGGCACTTTTTATTGGTTATGAAAGAGAACTGTATGCAGTGCTATTACTTGTTTCTTAGGGGACAAATATTTAAAATGTATGTCTTCTACGCGGCCTGTTAAGTAACAAATCACTGTATTACCATGTAATCTGTGCTGTTTTAAATACTAATTCTTTACTGTAAGAGGAACCAGAAGTTGCATCCTGGTAAAGATACACAGCCTGTGAATTTGAGGGTATTCTGTCCACTGCCAAGTTTCACACCTCTGAGGTATTTTCAAAGTCAAGAAAGCTTCAATTCTTTCTATATGTTGGTGTAAAGTTAAAAATGACCATTTCTAGTGTAGGATCAGAATTATAGCACAGTTTTGTTCAGGACTTCAGCTTCTTACTAGCAATATGAGCCATCATTTTCAAGATGGTTTGTGAACCACTTGGGAAAAAAAAAAAAAAGGTGCTAACTGCCCTGCATGTGCACTCACATGTATTCATATTCCTGTGACGGTACTGTCCTTGTGGTATTTCTTTCTCAATTTGATATCTCTGCATTTGTGGATGAAAAGGCCTCCCTTAGTTTAAAATAGCATCAATAAATGCAGACTAGCTGGTTAGTCTTCAAGGTTTTATTTTGAAACTGGAAAACAAGAAATGTAGTTGTAATCTGATAACAGGCACGTTTCTTATTTTTAGTATGTGGGTTTCCAACTGACATGTGACAAGAACAAAGACTTTTGGATTGGTGTCTTTTATGGCAGGAAGGTCTGCTGTGTACTTCTGAATGTGGCTTTCATTTAAAGAAACAAACAGTATCTCCTTCTAAAGATAACTATATAATTTAGTAGTTTTGACCTTTTTCCTGAAAGGAATAGAGAGGAATTTTTTTTCCACATAGAAAACGAGTTGTTTTTTCCTTCCCGGTGTGTATACAGGAATTTATCAGGTGTTGATATTCACATCAGGTTTTGTCACTGTAACAGCTGCAGTGCCAGTTATTTCTGGGCTTGCCAACCTAACAAGGCGAGCTTTTTTTCATTGACAAAAGCCATTTTGTTTGAAAGCTGTATTTATAATTTACGTTGTATAAAACTTTTGTAATAAAGACTGTCTCTTTTTCAAATGTGGTCAGATATTGCTTTGATACTTAAGGGTGAGCTACATGATTTTCCTGGAGTTTGAGTCATACTAGCAAACAAATGATTAGTGTTTGCTACAAGTTACATACTTCTGTTTATAATTAGTACTCTAATACATATTGGTTAATGAATCTCTCTCTCACTTCTCATTCTCATTAGTCCACATGCTCAGTTTCTCTTATTTTGGGTTTGGGGGTTTCTTGGGTCACTGGTCTCCTACCAGAATTACCATTTACCTGCTTCAATCTGTTTCAGCACAATTACTGAGCTGGTTTTACTAGTTTCTTCCTTAAATGGGAAGATATCCTAGTGGTCCATAAATTCTTAATCAATACTACCTCCCTCTTCCCAAACCATGCTGACTCCCTTTTTCAGGTTTGAGAAATAAACTTTATTTATTTATTTTCTCACACACTTAAAGCTTGTTAGCGTTGTTAGCTCTGTTAATTTGTGACCGGCCCGGGGTCTGGAGCTGCCCCGGCGCCACCATCGCTGCCCGGGTTCCCGTGAGGCGGCCGCGTCCCCGCCCTCCCCGTGAGGCGGCCGCGTCCCCGCCCTCCCCGTGAGGCGGCCGCGTTCCCGCCCTCCCCGTGAGGCGGCCGCGTTCCCGCCGTTCCCGTGAGGCGGCCGCGTTCCCGCCCTCCCGTGAGGCGGCCGCGTTCCCGCCGTTCCCGTGAGGCGGCCGCGTTCCCGCCGTTCCCGTGAGGCGGCCGCGTTCCCGCCGTTCCCGTGAGGCGGCCGCGTTCCCGCCGCTCCCGTGAGGCGGCCGCGTTCCCGCCGTTCCCGTGAGGCGGCCGCGTTCCCGCCGCCCCCGTGAGGCGGCCGCGTTCCCGCCGTCCCCGTGAGGCGGCCGCGTTCCCGCCGTTCCCGTGAGGCGGCCGCGTTCCCGCCCTCCCGTGAGGCGGCCGCGTTCCCGCCCTCCGCGTTGCCATGGCGCCGCGCTGGCGCTGCAAAATGGCGGCCGGGCGGCCGCCGTAGCGCCATGGGGGTTGCCGGCATCGGGGCGCCGCTGCTGCTGCTGCTGCTCTTGCGGGCGGCTCCCTGCCCCGGGCAGCTGGCCGGGGACACCGGTGGGTCAGGGCGTGAGCGGCCGCCGTGAATGGCGACCTCCGGGGGGTGTGGGGATGGCGGTCGGGCCGCGGCGGGATTTGCCCAGGGGAGCGTGAGGGGAGCGGCGCGGACCCTGAGGGCTCCCCAGGGGACGGTCTTGGGCTCCCCTCCCAAACCCGAACGTGCCCGCCGTGGAGCTTCTGCCGCTGCTCAGCACGGAGCGGGAGGCTGAAGCAGTTTTATATCGGACCTTTCAACCTTGGCAAAGTGTAGCAAGAAAAATCCAGTGAAACACCCAACTCCAAACCCTAAACTTGGCACTGTGTCCACATGCAGAACTCAGGAGTCCACAGCTCCTGTATCGCAGGTACATCCCTCACACAATTCATGGCCCAAATAAATGAAAAAGTGCAAACTGAAGTCAGCAAGAAATGGTAAATATGGTATTGCTGAGCTGTGTAGTATCTGCGTGGGCTGTAAGTGCTGTAATGTTATTTTACTGCCTGTTTACTGGGCATCTTCACACATGTAAACATGTGGCATACAAAGCTACACCCACTCCTCCAACACTTGGCCAGAATAGAAATACAACCCTGTACTAGGCATTACTGATCATTTTCTTCTGTTTGTGATAATTTAAAGTCTAAGAGTGTAAGAATATAACCCAGGTACGAGATCAATATGTCTTACAGATGTTACCTCTTTCAGTCAACTTATTTCTTTATCCTTTTTTTTTTTTCAGTCTTTCAGCCTTCGTTTATTCATATGTCAGGGCCCAGAGTCAATTCATTTTTTCTTGGCCATTCTTCAGGAGTTAATTTTTCTATAATTTTAAGTCCTAGAGATGCAGAGACAGGTAAGAACAATATATAGTTCAATCCCCTTTCCCCATGTAAATAAATACGTTTGAATTGTTAATATTTTTAGATGAAAAAATTACTAGAGAAATGGTAATGCATGTCATTTAGTGTCTTAATTGGTACAGAAACAGGAATTTCAGACATTCCTGTGATTAACCCTTAGTTTTCAGTTGTTTCTGTGTGAGCTGGGCTTGAGGGGCACAAGAAGAGTTTAAATGTACTTCTCATTTCCCAGTCATTTCTAAATGACCTTTAAAATTTTTATTTTGTTATAGGAAAATTGCAACTTGCAAATTGCAGCGGAAGTAAAAGAGTGGGAGATTGGAATTTGGATGTAACTCCTGGTGTGGTACGTAGAATACCGATTCTTCTGTTACTCCATTCCAGCTTCTCTCTCAGAAGAGCAATTTAATACAAGCTATTAGAGCTGTCAAACTTTATTCTGTGTTTTCCAGAACACTTCCAAGGTGACTGTAAGCCTCAACAGAACTCTGGAGCTGTGTTTGCCCAATGCCACCGAGTGCTGCCCCTCACCTCTGTGTGTGGTGGAAACACTCCAGGTTTTAGCCTGCCGTGGTTCAGTGATGCTGGCACAGCTCCTGATTCAAGCTGAAATATTTGCCAACTCTTCCTTTGCAGGAAATGTGTCAGGTACGTGCTAAAGAAGAAATGGCATTTTGTCTGTTCTTTTCCTCTCTGTATGGAAAAATCGGTATTTGAGCAGCAATAAGAGATACTGAGCAATCAATGAAATTTAAAAAAAGGTTTCTACACAGAATCAACTGCAGTGTGCATTGTCTTTTTATTTGAACTTCAGTCCACTTAAACTCATTTTCTCTTCTACTTCTGTTACAGAAAATGCAACTATCATCCCAAACCAAGCATTTAAGCCCTTGGGCTCTTGTCCTTGTAATTTAACAGCTGGAGCTTGTGATATTCGTTGTTGCTGTGATCTGGTACTTATTTCTTATTAAACTTGGTTTAAGTGTTTTCAAAGTTTCTAGACTCTCTTGTCTGTGGGGAGAGACAGGTACTGAATGCTTCAGACTAGATGGGCCAAGGGGGGGTGTTTGGATATTCCAGTATTTCTGAAAGTAAATATGTTCTCTATACAAAGTTACTTGATTTACCTGTAAGTTTGGCTTTATATATCCGTAAATATAGCAATTACTTTGCTAAAAAAAGACCATTGTTTTCCCTTTCAGGAGTGTACACCAGACTTGCAGCAGTTATTCAATGGATCATGTTTCACTGGAGTGTTTGGTGGGGATGTAAACCCACCTTATGATCAGCTGTGCTCTTCTCAGTCAATGGAATATACCCCTGAGTGGTTTCCCTTCCTTTGTGTACAGTCATCTCTTGACAACACACCATTTCTTGGCTATTTTTATCATGGCTCTACGTAAGTCTTAAAAAAAATTATTTTCTCATCACACTCTCATCACATTCATTATGCAACCAAACATATAACTTGTCTTTATAATGAAAGTTACTTTGAAATTAGGGTTTTAGGGTGTAAGCCTTAAATGCAAGTGGAGAAATGTCTTTGGTAGTATATGAGAACAGGAGGCATGAAAGCAAACCTGTAATTATTTGTGTGAGATAAAGAGTTTAGTTTAATTTTTAAACTTGTTTGCAGTTCTACACCCAAAGTTTATTCATTTAAGATCCCTCTACAAACTTCTCCTGGGAAACCTTTCACTGGTTACAGAGAAGGAGATCCAATTATAACAGAAGAAGATGAGTATTTTACTGTTCCCCAGGTAATCACTTTGTGCTTATGAGCTTTTGATTCCTCTTGGTTGGTTTGGAACTCCCTGCATCACTCTTCTTATGGCTTTGCATCTAATTTCAGCAACTTGATGTTGGGAAATGGTGGGGTGTATTTGTCACAAAAACCCCTCAACCAAGCAAACAAAAACCACAAAACAAAACCACAAAGTTACTATTAAAAGTAAACATTATCCTTCCTTATCCCCTTTTCCATCCTGCAAAAGGTAATGCATTTTGGAGACACTTGTTGGTTATTATTATTTTAAAAATGAAGTCATGGTGTACATTGAAACTACTTTTACAGCTGTGCTTTTAAAATGTTAACCTCTTTTGCCAGAGGCTGAGGTGTTTTTATAACACCAGATAGCTTGTTTGTCAAAGTGTTATGTGTGGCTGTAGTGCACACGTGGGACATTTTACTAACAAGTAATCTTCAAATGAAAAGCAAGGGGCTTTTTCCTCATTTCTGTGACCCCCTGCAGCAATCCATGGCTGGACAGTGTGTTGGGAATGCTCCCGTGGCCTATCTCCAAAACTTCGATGTCAAGTGCCTGACCAATTTGGAGTCTTACAAGGAAGGCCTGCCCCATGATGTGAGGATAAACACTGGCACTGCAGGTATGCTGCACAAATCCAGGCAGGAATGTGTTTCATTGTTTCTCAGAGCTGCCGGAACAGAACAAACCCGAGGGCTGTTGGCACAGTTGTTAAATGTAACATCTGTGTTATCTGGCGGCTGTAGTTCAGCATTTGGGAATGTTCTGTTCCTGGTTCTCATGACCTTCTAGCAAGTATCCCACTGTTTCCCAAGATTTAGGAGGTAAGATATACAGGATGGGCCTTTGTGTCCCATTTACCTGTTCCTGGTGACTCATTTTCAGACTCTTGCAGAGCCCTTTTTCCGTCAGGAGGGTGCAGCATCAGCATTTCAGAGTTAGTGAGAAGTGGTTACTCTCTGCATTACAAAAGTCTGTACTTATGAAGAGTCATCCTGGAGTTTGAAATAATGTCATTACCAGCATGAACATATTTTATTTTATGCTCCATAATTGTCTAATTTTGTTAGTCTATGTTACCTCTGTAAGACCCACAGTTAATTAGCTCTGCTTTCAAAATATATAAACAGTCTGAGTCCTTACCAAAATTAATTTTCTAAATAATTTCCTACTGAGTTTTCATAGCAAGGATTGTACCTTGGATGTGAAAACAGAAGTCTTTGTTTGTTTTTCGTTCTCAGACTTCATCCAACAAAATGTTTTCTACAGAGCCATCACTGACAGGGGCAAATTCATCACTGAAAGTGGTAGGTCTCTTCCATTTAATTAATGTTTCTTACTTAACCTGGATTGTATATGAAATAGATTTTGATGTCTAAAATGTTTACCTGCTGCAATTAGGAGGAATTTTGTATGTTATCTAAGACTGAAAAATTAAACTGGCTTCCTGGAAAGCAAGAAGTATTTAATTTACTCCAGTTCATCACAGTTGGTCAGGAAATCAGGTTCCTTACGTTGCATACATGGTGGATTGCACCATTGCACACTGAAACAGTAAAGTAAATTCTCAAAAAGATGAATGTTGTAGTTTCCAGAATTTTGCCACAGTTTTAATGTGTTCTTTCTCAGCTGCAATAGCAGAGCTTTCTAATTAGAATTCTTTTTCTCTTTTTCCCTTCTGCCAGAAAACCTTGCTGCTGAGGTACTGTGTCAGAATGTAACTTTTGCAGAACATTATAAATTCATTTGGAAAGACAAGAACATTGAGCAAGTAAATGTCACTGTCTTCTTTGGAAGCTTATGTGATGGAGGTATCAGGAAATTTCTTTTATGGTTTTTGATTTATTTCTTTGTCTTCTGTATGGAAATTCTGTGATAGAATCTCTTATTTACTAATTCTTCTTAAAAATAACTTTCCTCAGACTCCAGAAAAAAAATTTTGTCTGATTTCCATTAATTTGTGTCAATTTGAATCTGTCACTAATGAGAGACAGAAGTTTGTGCCCTACATAGAAACATACATTTTGCTAATTTACTTATTTAAAAGTGATACTTTTTTCTTTCACCAGAAATCCTGACACAGAGATTCACAGTCGAATTTCTAAGTTTAAACAGTACTAATGGAGAGGAACTGTTTGAGAATCCAGGTATTAATACTTCATTTTGCCTATTAAAAGTAAAAATATTTGTACTGTACATATTATCAGTGATTACATTTTATATGTCTTTTGTACTTTTTAATGTTGCCAGCCTTCACCTTCCTGCCTTACTGCAGTGAGTGGTTCTTAGGCTTTTGTTGCATAGATACTGATCATTTAAAGTGAGGCCATTCCCACTACAATGGAAATGTCTTGTCATTTACTTCATTGATGATATTTAAAACAATGCTAATGCTTACGGATTCTTCTACAGTGTTGATAATTTACCCTTCTGTGTTTAGGGTATCAAGTTGGAAATCCACTGAAAGCTGCAAATCTGAATGCTTCTGATCCTCTTGGAAGCATAGACATTTGGCAGCCAGGTACTGGCTTGTGAGGTTGCAACTTCAATTGTAGTTAATGATAAAGTTTTGGAGCTTTATTTGGTTTTTTGATTTTTCAAAACATATTTTAATAAAAAATCCCTGCCAGATTTTGCTTTTCTTTCCCAAACTTTCAAAGGTCGGTGAGAAAACCTTTAATGCTTTATTGGAAAATTGAATTGTTTGTATCTGTTTTTGAACTCTACCACGCTGAGTTTGCATTCTAATGTCTGATGTTTTGCGCAAAATTGAAAGCTGGAGATCCAAAGGTGGATAATAGGAAAGCTCAAGTAAGATGTTTTCATTTCACAGCTGGCAGAGGTTTATGTGCATCAACAACTGACAGACCAGTTCTGTTTGGAGTAGACTCATACTCTGGGTGCATTCTAGAAGTTGATATTAATGAAGATTGCAGCCTTTTAAGGTGAGCCACACAAGCTGAATTGTTTATCCCTGCCTCATCCCTCTTGTTGATCGTTATGTGACTGTCTACAAGTGCCTCCCATCAGCACTGGTACATTCTTTTTAAATATTCATGTGTGTGTTTCAGCTTTCTGTGGTTAATAGTCTCACTTCTGTTTTTGATGGGAAATTATAATGATGGTTTCACTCTTTACTCAAATGAGGATTGTGTTGGCTGCGATACTTTTCCATTTCTTCTCTTCAATAATTGAAGTTTGTTTTTGTTGTGTGATAACATCTTTCAGATGAAACTAACCTTAGGATCAGTAATATTGCAACCCAGAGTGGTAAGACAGTACAAATTTACATTCTGTGTGATGTTACATTCTTACTTTGCAGAGGAAATGTGACTGAGAAATTGAATGCATTAATACAAGCTACTCACATTGGAAAGAGGGACAATTCCAATTACAGTGATCTAAATGACTGGGTGGAAATTATACGTAAGTGAGGCTTGTGTTGTTCTTTGTAGTCTAAATATGCACATACAGTAAATAAAGCATGTCAAAATAAATCCAAATTTCAAATACCTAAAGCCTGTGATATGTGTGTCTGCATCCATCCATCCATATATGTGTACACACAGGCACATAACTCAGTATGTCTGTGGATACTGAATATTTTACACATGTTACTCGGTATTTATCCATTGATAAAGTAGTCCTTTACGTGTTTTTTATAGGAGGAAACATTTTTAATGTGTTCCTGTATGACAGTTACTAGCATTTTACAGAGCTATGAGAATAATCTAATTATGGGATATATAATGTTTCCCATAATATTTACATTTAAATCTCTCTGTTCTTCACAGGTCTTGATCCATTTAGTTCTAATGTGAGCACTGGAGGCTTAAAAGGTTTTTGTCCAGATATTCCTGCAAACCTAAATATTCGCATAATCTTTGCTAAAGTGGGAGCAGTGCAAGGGATTCCCCAGCAGGAAATTCTTGCTGTGCAGATCAGGTAAAGTGAGTTGTGTCTCTGACTATCTGACAAATAAATGCTTCATTTTGCACCTTGTTTACCTAACATATCCCAAATTAATTTTACAGACAAAAAGGGTAGATTTTGTTGCTGGTTTTTTTTACATGTCTTTCACTTTGCAACCCAAATTCCTTTGATCACAACCAGGTTAGCCTTTCTCCCTCTAAAATGAAAATTAAAGAAAAAATTAATGATTAAAAGCAGATCATCTTTATACTTCACTGAAATATTAAATAAAACACATGATGCTGCCAGCAGCAAGCATACGCAGGGCATCCCATCAGGAGTCACGTGGTGGAATCAACATGATTGTCCTGTGTTCTGGCTTGCCCCATTGCAGAACTCTTGGGAGCTGAGCTAAATGCTTTATTCTCTCCTGAAACAGAGAATTTTCACTCTGCAAACACTTCCCCTCCTCCACCAAGTCAATCCCTATCAAATAAGTGGGATTCTGTTCTGTTTTACCTCATTTCCAGACTGTGCAAGTTCTCCCCTTGTATGAAGTTGAAAATCCAGGGATTATCAACCTCTTCGTACATACTGTGTGTTTTGTCTTTTCCTGCTTGTGTTTAGGGTCTAAATTCCATTTCCATCCCTCAAGCAATAGTCACACTTTTTGTTACAGTTACTCAACAGTCTTATGGCAGTTCCAGTGTGGGCTTGGCTGCAGAAACACCCTCAGCTTTCTTCCCATCACAGCTTCTGTTCAGTTCATTGAAGTCCCAGCACAACCACCTCCTCCAGTGACCAGGTAGTTTTGGTAAAAACACTGATAACCTCCCATTATGTTCAGCAGATGTAACATGAATTACGTTGACCAAGAAGTTCCTTTTTTCCAGGTATCAGAAGATTTATGCAGAGTTTGACTGCAATCAGAATGAGGTGTGCTGGCCACAACTCCTTTATCCACTGACACGCTTTTACACAGGTAAAATGATAATCAATGTTTATGCCACAAAACATGAAAGGCCGTATTTGCATACACTTTTATTTGTATCTTTGGGTTGTTGTATAAACCAAAATTTCGCTCTCACATGCTTACACTTTCATTTTTTGTTTTTGTTTTTTTTTTTTTTTTCAGGAGAACCATATTCCCAGAGTCTTGCGAAAGGCCTGTTTCTGGCATTTCTTGTTTTACTTGCAACAATTATGAGCAACCCTTGGTTTTCTAAATTATGGAACAGATAGGTAAAAATTATGGAGAAACATTCTTGGATTTTGTAGAGTATTTATGTAAACTTTGAAAGATACATAAAATCAGTACTTCTACAGCATACAGAAAATGGCTGCTACTTAAAATAAAAAGTAATAAATTATCTTTAATCTCTAGACTCTGAGTTTGGAGTAGCAAAGTGCAGAGTTGACATCAAGAAGGTGGCGAGTCCAGCCCAGAGGCTGCAGCGGGTTTGGGATTGTCCTCATGGATGGACCATTGTCCTCTCAAGCTGGTTCTCTTCTCCTAGAACTCTTGGCAGTAAACCCCTTGTGCCCACCTATTTTTGGAGCAGTGGGCAGACTTTTCACACTTCTGAGAAGTCATAACCCTTTGGCTGTTTTCGTGTTGATGTGAAATTCCCTTTTCCAGTTAATGCTTTGCTGTGTCTGTATGCAGGGTGCAGGAAACATCTTCTCATTGTCCTTAACTGATGAAATGCAACATTTGAGATTTTTCTTGTGGTTTGGATGGGCCACAAAGTTGAGGACTGGAACAGTTATATAAAGACAGGGTGCAGTTGGGGATGTTCAGTCTGGAGAAAAGGTTGTGTGGAGACCTCACAGCAACCTTCCGGTATCTGAAGGGGCCTACAGGGCTCCAGAAAGAAACTCCAGAAAGAGACTCTTCATCAAGAGCTATAGAACAGAACAAGGAGTAATGGGTACAAATTGAAAGAAGGGTGAGGTTAGATATTAGGAAGACATTTTTACTGTGGGGCTGGTGAGACACTGGAACAAGTTGCCCAGTGAAGTTGTGGATGCCCCAAGCCTGGCAGTGTTCAAAGTGGAGCAACCCGGGCGGGTGCGAGGTGTCCCTGCCCACGGCAGGAAGGGCTGGGACTGGGTGACACTAAAATCCATTCCAAGCCCACACGGTGCGGCTGGGCCAGGACCTGGGCTCCGTGATCCTTCTGGTCCCTTCCAGCTCAGCATTTTCAGTGACTCCGTGGTGTTCCCTCAGTCCCGCATTCCCCGCTCGCAGCGCAGCCGGTCGGGGCCGCGCTCTGCGGCCGTTCCCCGCGGCCGTTCCCCGCCCCGGAAGCGGCGCCGGGCCCGCCCCGCCCCGCCATGGCCGCCGCCGGGCCGCGCTGAGCCCCGCCGCCGCCATGGGCGCGCTGTTCCGCGGCGAGCCCGTGTGCCTGGCGCAGCTCTTCCTGCAGAGCGGCTCGGCCTACGAGTGCCTCAGCGAGGTGGGCGAGCGCGGCCTGGCCGAGTTCCGAGACGTGAGTGCCGCCGGGGCCCTGCGGGGCGGCGCGGGGCTGCGGGGACCCTCAGCGGGCCGGTGGGGCGGTGGAAGCTGCTGGGTGTATGGCCCGTCGCTGTGTGGCATTGGCCTGAAGGCAGATCACAGAAGTGCTGGGGTTGGCAGGGATCTCTGGAGATCAGCCACTCCAACCCCCTGCCAAGGCAGGGTCACCCAGAGGGTGACACCGCGACGCCCGGGTGGGTGGGATGAGTGATGGAGAGGCGGTGTGGAGCTCCCGCCTCCCCGGCGCTCTCGGGAGGAATGCTTTGGGATCCCACCTTTCTCACAGCAGTACCTTAAATTGGGGTTATTTGCAGTGAAATCCCATGGGAGAGCCCCTGACCCACCTGCAGCCTCAGTGCCATCAGTCTCAGCTGATGGCTCCATCCACCCCACTGACAGACACACAGAAACAGCTGCTCTGCAGAATTATTGATAACAGGTTCCTGTTCCTGGAGGGGCACTTCATCCTGGAGGAAACTCCCTGCCTGCCTGCCTAACATAAAGTTGGGTTGGGCAATAAGTAGCCATGTCTCTACATTGTCTCATCATAATTATATGATCTTTGCTTCCTGAGACTATGGAATGTCTTCCAAACATACATTTGAAATGTAGCTTGTAAAATCATTGCTGGGAAGACTTAAATAAACAGCTACTTAGTAAATATGGCATGGAGGAAGAGGCAGATCTGTAAGAATGATTACATGAGTATATGTTTAACACTTTGATGTCATTCTAGTTACCTGATACACCCTTTATTGTAGAAATAATGCATTAGTGGTTCTGATTTAATAGCTGGATAAGTAGTCAGAGATATTGCATGTTCATATTATGGGGATGTATGTAAAATTTAATATTTTAAATAGACTGCGGAAATGCATCAGAACCAATTTGTGAAATGGTTCATTAATTTGAAGTCATTAAGTAATATTTTAAAACTGTCAAAATAAGATTAGGAATGGTTTCTCCAGTAGACCTTGTTGTTTTATTGTTTGATTAAAACTAGCCACTGACATGGGTAATTCTGCTTTAATAAAACCAGCTTTGCTATTCAAAAGCTTTGTCATCTTTTTAGGTTTTTGTGCCTTCTCAGCTGACAAGCACAGAGCTCATGCAAATTGTCTCCAGGAAGTTGCAGGAACAGCTGTAGTTTTTAGGGGAGGTTACTATTTCTAACTCCTAATAAGCATTTTGTCCTTCTCCTTCAGCTTAACCCAAATGTAAGTGTGTTTCAGAGAAAATATGTGAATGAAGTGAAGAAATGTGAAGAAATGGAAAGAATACTTGGTGAGCTTTATTTTCATGTCTGCTGTTTCTCATCTGTGGCATTACCAGAGTGGCACTACTGTGGAGGTTTCAGCTACAGGTTTTTTTAACCCCCACAGATTTTGTAAGCTGTGAAATTTACTTACACTAAATATAGATTTGGGTTTTTTCTTATGCTCAGAGGTGAAGAACGGTTGCTAATGTGTTGCTGATAAATAGATGAGGCTGTTTCAGTGTTTACTACTTAAAAGTCTGCTAGGGAAAGTGAAACTTTACTGTGGATATTTCCTTGACTGTAAGATATTTCCTTTTTCTTCATGCTGTATAACTCAATGCTGTTGATTTTCCAGACACCCTTAAAAATACCTCAATTTAATAATGGTGTTCTCGTGATAGTTAATGAATGGAGAAGGGTAGGCAGAACACTACAGCCAAGATGCAGATGTCTTCAGTGTATCCTGAGGAAAAGTTACAATTGAAGGATTCCTTTGATTGGAATCTCTGATCAGAGGCACGTGCTGGTCGTGCCAGCAGCTATTTTGGCAGCCCCCCTGCCCAGTGTGAGTTGCATTTTGTTGTCAAGGTTGCTTAAGCAGCTTTGTTTGAACACTTTTTACTCCAGACATGGGTCAGTGAGCAGCACATCCGTTTCTGGCAGAAAGTAACACAGTTGCACCATTAACAGAAAGTGGGACCGTGCAGCAACAAAGAGGTTCTGTGAAATGGTAAAAGCTTCTTAGAAAATACTTGTTGGGAAAGAGAAGCCTCTGAAGTTTGCCTGCTTCTGCAGACTTCCAAGGCAGGAATAGTTTGTGTGTTTTATACCCACCACTCTTCATCTTCTTCATTTTTGAAGGCTTCTATGTGAATTGTTGCTAGAATGAATAAATAAAATCCAGGGCTTGATGCTGCAATGTGATTAGCACCATCAAGAGCAGCTGAAGGTCAACTCTGCAGCACTCTAGGAAGTGTAGGCAATGCAGTTTCCTTTCTGATGCTGTTTTTCTTCCCACTCCAGGGTATTTAGTACAAGAAATTAAAAAAGCAGATATTCCACTTCCTGAAGGAGATGTTGCTCCTCCTGCCCCCTTGCTGAAACACATTTTAGAAATCCAGGTAACTCCACTAAACAGATGCCAAAGTCTTGGAACTTAATTTCAAGCTTAATGAGTTGTTATCTTACTACTAAAGATTTTAATTATTGGGATGTGGTGGGAGGGGGGGCAGAAGCATTTGTTTTCCTTTTTTCTGATTTCTTGCTGCCATTGTGACTTCAAAGCCAGTGAGGGTTTGGTATTAACACAAAATTCTTGTGAAAGGGTCAAAGCAAACTCAGGGAGTGTGCAATCATCCGATATATTTTGATGGATTGGCACATCACACTGTTCCAGGCAGATTGTCTGTAGATAAGGTCCCTCAGCCTCATTTATTGCTTTGGTACTTTCCTAAGGCTCTTTGTGCATCCAAAATTTCCAGGTGTGTGTGAATTTTACTTGCCCAAAGCTCTGCAGGTGCTGCTCACACAGCAAAACGTGGTGCTGTTGTCTCTGAAAGCTTTTTCTGGTGTTGTGCTTGATGTAGAAGCTTGTAAAACACAGATGTAATTTTGAATAACATTCCGTTTTGTTGTAATTATATTAAAAGAATAAATGGGTATCTTTCACCCTCTGCTACCTGCAGTTCTAATTCCAGGTCTGCATTATTTTGACACAAATTAGGGGCAGAGCAGCACTCAGAACAGGTGCCAGTGGAGGATCAAGTGTACTTAATACAAACCAATCTGTGACATACTGAGGGATAAAACCTCTGTAGCTTTAGTTAATTAAGAAATGGGAAACTACTATCACTGTGTCAAATTATTATGTGTTGAAAATGAATCCTATTCTGTTTTCCAAAATCCTGTAACTGATTCCGTGTCTTTTCTTTGCTCTATGTCTTAGGAGCAGCTGCAGAAGCTGGAGACAGAATTGAGGGAAGTAAATCTAAACAAAGAAAAATTGAGGAAAAACCTGCTTGAATTGACAGAATACAAGTACATGTTACAGATCACACAGAATTTTGTCAGGAGATCACCTGAGGTATTATTTGGGGCGATTGACAGGGATTTTTGTTGTGTGGCATTTTTGTGATTTTTTCCTTGTAGAATTGCTTGAAAATGGAGGTGTAATTGTGTTATTTTGGTGCATAAATTGCACTAAGAAATTTACACTGTAATTTTGCAGCACTGACTATAATTGTTAAAAGCAGTGCACTTGAGATCCAGGATCTCTCTGTTGCCTGAAGTGAACACGGAAATGAGTTTTATATTTTTAATTAAACCGTTTACCTAATTACCTTTTCTTTCTTAGAATAATAATGGAATGAGAGGTTGTTTGGTTTTTTTCTTTTCCTGGAAGCAATGAATGTTTTTTCTTTTAATTTGCTAGCATGAATCCCATTTACATGGAAATTTTGAAGAATTTTCTTCTGTGGAAAACGAGCCATTGGTGGATTACAACCGCACGCACAGACTGAGTGCCTCGCTGGGGTGGGTATGGCACGTGCTGTTTCAGAAGTGCTTGATGAGGGGCTGTAAAGAATGGGTTGTTCTCTTAAAACATGG